CTTGCCCTTTCCTTTTTTTTTTTTCCTTAAAAACAAGCACACTTCCATGATTAAATAAATACCAGGAACACAATACTAGGAACTGCCCCAGGAGAGCAGCACATTTCATGCGCACAGAAGTCAGCAGTGTGTTGCAACAGCTCTGGTAATTGTGCAGTGGTGCTGCTGCCTGTGCCCTCAGTTCCTCTGAAAAGCAGTGAGCAGAGACAGCGGCTGTGAAACACTCTTTGTGTCCTGCTCTAACCCCCACGCAGCACTCCAGGATCCCTGCCAGCAGCTGAAAAGTGCAGTTAATGCTGCAGCTGAGTATTTGATCTGTGGCGTTGTCTAATCTCTGCTCCTCCTCACACGTGAAAAACAGCTCATTCAATCCTGCAATTAATGGGAAAATTTAGTACGTATTGAACTGTGTTCTGCCCATTGTTCAGGGTGACTGTTATGAACCAGCTGTCTGCCTTCTCTACTTAGTAGGCTTGGAAATGCAAACTGACAGGAGCAAAAAGGATTACAAAGCAGACAGAATGCACCGAGTCTTGTCAGCTGTGCAGTCACCCTGCTGACCTCAGAGATCCAGGCCCATGCAGGGAAAAGAGGACCTTGCACTTAAGCCAGTGAAGTAGGACACGATGGCTATTCCTGTACAAGAGAACTGAACAGAGTCCAGGCACAGGCAGAGGCACCAGGACACTCTGCTCTGTGCCTGGTGCTGGAAGAACAGGCTTGGCTCAGCTGCAGCCCCAGCCCAAGCTCCCAGCTTGGGGAGGAGCACAGAGCATTTCCAGCAGGCATCTGAATGGGGCCAGCTGGTTTGGGGCTGAAGGAGCACAGAGCTGACTAGATAGATCGTGCAGCACCAAGGCCAGAGGATGGGCACTGTCACTGGTTAGCTCACCAGCACCAGTGCAGCCAAGAGATCCAGATCCTGTCTGGAGCTACCTGAGCTTGCTTCCTTCCAGGAGACTGGACATGTCACGAGACCTGCTGCTCAGCTCTCCTGATGTCTAAAAAACAGTAGTATCCTCCTAAGTTGCCAGGTGTCAGGGGTCATTAATAGCCACAAGAACACTGTAACTTGTGTAACTTGTAAATCTGCCTTTTGACCCATAAAGAGAGGCTTTAAGACCTTGTCTTGGCCAATCTGGCAGCATGAAGCCAAGCTGTAATTTACCCAGCCAAATATGAAGCTTTAATGAATTAAGAGATTTCTTACAGCTGATAGAGGATGGAGTAAAACAAGAGAAGACAACAGATATTATGGGACAGTATCTGCAGGAGAACAGATTAGTTTCTACTTCATAGTCTCACTAAAGTGAAAAATATGTCTTATAGAAAAATATTGCAAGTAAAAAAATGAGAAGGTGGTCACAGTAATCCGTGTCCTCCCGGGAGAGATACGGAGATGCAGGGAGCATGAACTGCAACGGGAAACATCTAGGCATTAGGAAAACTTTCTGCTATCAGGAGCAGCCAAGCTCTGGCACGACTTGCTGGAAGAGGCTGGGAGCTTTCAGAGAGCTTTCAGCACAGGCTGAACACCCGTTTGCCAGAAGTATTGTCATTATAGGCAAATTTGCCTGTAGGCATGGAAATGGACCGGATGACCTGCAAGTCTCCTCCACCCTGGTATTCTATTACTCTGTGACAAAGTGACACGGCAGGATGAGGCTGCATTTTTAGGAGCTCTTTCCTAGCAGAAATTGAGAAACTTCTGGCAAAACCGCTGTTACATTAAATGTTTTGAGTCTGACAGAGGAAACAAGACAGAAACAAGTAGTAGGAAAGCGTGGCAGAGGGACGGGCTGGGTGACCTAAGAGGCTTTTCTGTCTCAAACTTCCAGCTGTCTCACCACATCACCTGACTGGTGTTTAACCCATCACAGTGATGCAACAGATGTTGTAAACAAAGTTACTCATTTGTTAATTACTCAAGGTGATTTAAATCTGTTTCCTACAGTAATCGTGCCTCTTGCTGTAGTTAGGTACGCGCTGTACGTGTGCTTCACTGCTGCTAATACCAGATAGAAACATCCTAGTTCTTCCTTTGAGAGGCATCTGGCTTCACAGTCCCACCTCTGATGCCCAGGGGTGACTGACATCTCCTCTGCAGGGTGGGTGCCTCCTGCAGAGCAGCTAATCTGTTCTCCCAGAGACCCCAGACCATAACTTTGATGAGGAGGTGCTATCTCCCCCACAGAGTGTTGTTTTGAAGCAACAAAGAGGAAGGAGGGCTGCCTTCTGGTAAGATAAGATCATAGAGTCATAGAATCATTACAGTTGGAAGGGGCCTAAAAGACCATCCAGTTCCAACCCCCCTGCCATGAGCAGGGAACCACTAGACCAGGTTGCACAAAACCTCATCCAACCTGACCTTAAAAACCTCCAGGGATGGGGCATCAACAGCCTCCCTGGGCAACATGGATAGCTGCATTTTGCACTACCTGAAGTTCCTAAATGATTTCAAAATTCAGACCTGTGCTGAATGTTGTGTAATAATCCAGCCTCTGAACTAAAAACATGACAATATCCACGGCGCTTCTGTCCCAGAGCTCCAACCCTCTTGCTCTGTGCCAGTGGGAGAAGAACTGCTGTACTGCTGTGATCTGCAGCAGAGCCCAGGCACAGTGGTTTGCCAACCACATTTGAAAGTGAGTTTGAGCAAAGATAAAAATAAGGGCTGGAGGCGGAAGGCTTCACCGCAGCGAAGTTATTTAGGTGGGCACCTCACTGAGGACATCCCAGCACTGGGTTAGAGGACGAGACTCCGAGACTCCAGCGCGGCCCCCAGCACAAGAAACAAGTGGAGCTGTTGGGATGTGTCCAGAGAAGGGCCATGAAAGTGATCTGAGGGCTGGAGCAGCTCTGTGATGAGGACAGGCTGAGGGAGCTGGGGCCGTTCAGTCTGGAGAAAAGGCTCCAGGGGGACCTCCTGGTGGCCTTCCAGTACCTGA